CTTGTGCCCAAAACGGATGTTCATGAACTAACAGAATTAAAGTCAGTCTATGCTGGGATCCCAGCAACAAACAGAGCCATCATTTGGAGAATGAGTACGAAGTACGTAGTACTAGAGACATAGAATGAGCCTCGGTTTAGTTCTGAATGTACTGACCGTCAAGCAAACACATGTGCCATTACATAGTAATTCTTGTTACGTGGTAACAAAACAAGGCATGATGATGATGATTTGGGTAGATAAGCATTTTCCTGGCAAGAAATTCTAGCAAGAACTTATTTCCCAGGATCTTCTCAGTGAGCTACGCACTGGGCTGCTAACCACGAGGCAGCCCCCTGCTCCCTGGGAGAGAGACAGAAAGATGGGACGGTCTGTCGGGAGTTACAGGACCAGAAGCCCACAGGGCAGTTCTACCCTGTCCTGTAGGGACACTGAGTCCGAATTGACTCGCTTGGAGTGAGTCTGCTTTCAGAGACACTAGACACTAGATAACCTAATGAACACTGCCTTCAGGTGACACAGACATGTTGCTGAAGCTGGTGGTTTAAGTGCTCGCCCTCTGAAAGATGGAGGTATCATGAAATACAAATGGAGATGGCTCTTCCAAAGGAGCAGATACATGTAGCATCCTGGGGTGTGAGGACTAACTTGGGGAGCTTCTCACAAAAGTACAGGGACGTGTCTGCTGGGTGGTGACATCCTTTGCACATGCCAGCTTAAAGACGTCCACTGTTCATTCTCTCATTGACGCGCCTGGTGGCTGCTGGGTCGGGTGTGCCTCTCGGTTTGGAAATCTAGAGATTCAACACCCAGAAGGCAGATCAATCCCTTCTACACAGGGTTGGACCCTGGGGCGTTCGAGAAGGACCAGTCTTTCTTTAAAAGGGCCTTGTGTCTGGCCCCTCTTGGGAGGGATTTTGGGGTCCCTGAGCATGCAAGGAAGTGACTTTTGGGCAGAATGAAGCTACCTGGTGGTGGGTATACACACGGAGCTTGTGTGTGTGGGGACCTGTGGCATGGAAGCAAGGGTCCTGGCAGAAGTGGCCACCTCCACTCAGCCCTGCCTGATGTCGCCATACAACAGGCAAGGCCAGAACCCGCTTGGCTTCCAGTCTTCTGAGCAGATGCCAGACACCTTGATGTTGTGAGCACTCTGCTCACTGAGGCCTCTGTGCCGAGCAGACCCATCTGGCTTCGGTTCCAGGAGCTTTCATCTGCAAGCTCCTTTGAGGGGCCAGGCTTTGCTGATAACCAGCTCAGTAACCATAAAGTAACCTCAGATCAGCTCAGGAGCCAGCAGCATGTCAGATTTTCAGGGTAGCTGAACTTTTACTTAAAGGAAAAGTCACTTCCCAATGAGCTTATTTAGTTGGCACTGGGGGTGGAAATAACCCGTTTTTCCCATGTCATTATTGACGCTCCTCCTTTCCCCTGCACCCCCACCCCCGCCAGGGTGGGTGGGCTACAGTAATTCTCATCCTGATATGGTGTTAAGCTGATGGCCTGGCAATAATTATTAAGCATGTTCACTCCGCTGTTTAATTTAGCACCACATTAGCGGGCCAGCACCATGGAGAGTTACCACTTCTGGTTAATACACTGTCACCATCTGACATTCCTGTATTGTCCCTGGGCAGCCCTTAGCTAGCCGATGTCGATGCTGGTATAGACAGTGAGGGCATTTCCCCTCTGTCCCCTCTCATTTCTCTATTAAACAATGTGCTCAAGCTACATGCTTGCTTACATTTATCTGGTCATCATTTTATTAAATTCTAAGAATTTTCACATATAATATTTGAGGGAGCTTCAAATAATTCAGAGAAACATTTCAATATAGTTTCAATTGATATCCCCCCCCCAAAAGCTTTTTGAAGCCCCTTCATCTTTATGTATTACCTGATTTAAGCTTCACAAAATCTGATGAGGCAGGTTTTATCACCATCATCATCTTCACCATCCCTGCTCCATAGCCTGGGATGTTCTGAGACTAACTAGCACAGAGGTTAAGTCACCTGCCCAAGACACACGACCAGTAGAAAGAAGAGGACCCCAGGGGTGGGGGGAAAGAAAGGGGGTTGGTTATGCATTGGGCTGCAATCTGCAAGGTCAGCAGTTTGAAACCACCAGCCCAGTCCTAATCCTCAGGGGTAAGATGAGCTTGCTACTTCCATAAAGACTGACAGTCTTGAAACCCCACAGAGACAGTTCTACCTTCTGTCCTACAGGCTCTCCTCCGTGAGTCGGAATTGACTCGGTGGCAGTGAGTTTGTGTTTTGCAGCACTGGTTTGGAGTTCTTATTGGGCAGCTGTTAAGCACTGAAAAGCTAACCCAGGATTCAAGGGTTTAAACCCACCAACCACTCTAAAGGACAGATAAATGGCCTTGAAAATCCTCCCTATACTCCCTCAATGCAAGAATACTTTCTTCTATTAAATTGGCATTCTATGATGCTCACCTTCCCAACACAACCGCTGAAGACAAAGCAGGTGAATAAGCAAATGTGGTGAAGAAAGCCGATGGTGCCCGGCTATCAAAAGATATAGCGTCTGGGGTCTTAAAAGCTTGAAGGTAAACAAGCGGCCATCTAGCTCAGAAGCAACAAAGCCCACATGGAACAACATATCAGTCTGTGTGATCACGAGGTGTCAAACGGATCACTGAATACAAATGGGTGCATAAGCAAATGTGGTGAAGAAAGCTGATGGTGCCCGGCTATCAAAAAGTATAGCGTCTGGGGTCTTAAAAGCTTGAAGGTAAACAAGCGGCCATCAAACTCAGAAGCAACAAAGCCCACATGGAAGAAGCACACCAGCCTATGCAATCACGAGGTGTTGAAGGGATCAGGTATAAGGCATCATCAGAACAAAAAAATCTTACCATAGTGAGTGATGGGGGGAGTGCAGAGTGGAGTTCCAAAGCCCATTAGTAGGCCACTGGAGATCCCCTTGCAGAGGCGTCTCAGGGAGGAGACGAGCCAGTCAGGGTGCGATGTAGCAACGATGAAAAATACAACTTTCCTCTAGTTCCTAAATGTTTCCTCCCCACTCCCACTATCATGACACGAATTCTACATTGCAAGTCTGGCTAGATCAGAGGATGTACACTGGTACAGATAGGAACTGGAAATACAGGGAATCCAGGACGGATGATCCCTACAGGACCAGTGGTGTGAGTGGCGATACTGGGAGGGTAGAGGGAGAGTGGGTAGGAAAGAGGGAACCAATTACAAGGAACTATATGTGACCTCCTCCCTGGGGGACAGACAACCAAAAAGTGGGTGAAGGGAGATGTCGGACAGGGCAAGATATGACAAAATAACAATTTATAAATTATCAAGGGCTCATGAGGGAGGTGGGAGTGGGGAAGGAGGGAAAAATGAGGACCTAATGCCAGGGGTGTAAATGGAGAGGAAATGTTTTGAGAATGATGAGGGCACTGAATGTACAAATGCGCTTTACACAATTGATGTATGTATGGATTGTGATAACAGTTGTATGAGCCCCTAATAAAATGATTTTTTAAAAATCCTCCCTAATAGGTTGCTGTAGTTGAACTAAAAAGCACACAGTGGGATTGGTGTTGATTTGGGGAGGAACCAGACTTGAACCTATGCAGTTCTACTTGGAGCAAGTTCTCTCCCTGCCCAGAGCCCCATATCATGCCCCCAAGATGTTCTCCCCACCCCTACCCCCACCCCCTTCTTCCTTTGGGTTTTGGAAATCAGACTTTTTCTTTTCCTTTTTTTAATCCCACGGTGCCTCAACAACATGAGGCTGTGGGTGCCCCTTCCCTCCTTCCTGTCACCCCAATATCATTCATGAAGAACCTTCTGAAATTCAGTGTGCAGAACCCGAAGCCCATAGATGACCCAGTCATAGTTCTCCATCTGTAGCTGCAGACTGGAGCAAACCCACCTGTACTGTCTACCTGTAAGGGAACACATTTCTCCATTTCTTTCTCAACACAGGGAGGAGCCCAGCCTACGGCCTGTAAGCCGGACTGAATATTGCTTAATATTCAGTTGGTCTTTAATAATTGAGTGGATGGTGATTAATACAATATGATGTTAATTCTCTTAATATCCCCGTGTTTTCAATAATTTTTAACAGCATTATCCTTGAGTCTAATTTTTAATTAGTAAAGGCCTTTTATCAAAGATCTAGCCTAAAGTACAATGTCCTTTTCTTATTCATGGTTAAATCAATGATATATATTTGGCAAAGGCTCAGAATGATCCCTGCTAACTTGTTTTTAATAGTAGTTGATTTATATGTGTCTACACCTCCAACACACATGTAGGCGTATTTTCTAGTGGCAGCTGCCTGTGCTCAGGCCGCATTCTTGGTGTGGAACGAAACCTAAACCATGGAAAGTGGAAGGATCAAGGAATTGGCATTAGAACCTTGAGCTCCTTCCAGAATGTTGTGACCAGCTTTAGTTGTCTTTCGCTGAGAGGAGCCAGCTTCCTGGATAGAAGTGGTGGTCCATTTCTTGCCTTTCTCATGAATTGTAAAATTCTTTCCTATAGTGGACATGGAGCCTTGGTGGTGTAGTGGTTGCACACTGGGCTGGGATCTACAAGGTCAGCAGTTCAAAACCACCAGCCACTCCGGAGGAGGAAACCAGGGCTTTCTACTCCTGTAAAGAGTTACTCTCTTAGAAACTCACAGGAGCAATTCCACCCTGTCCTATAGGGTTGCTGTGAGTCGGCATTGGCTCCGTGGCTCCGTGGCTGTGGGTTTTGTTTTGTTCTTTTAAAGTGGACGGAAGGGGATGAACGGTTAAGATATGGATGTTCATTGGCTGCACCAGGGTAAGATTGAAACCCATTGATATATCAGTGAGAGAACTTTGACTGCTTTTCCTGTTTCTCTATCCTGATTTTATAAGCAAAACGTAATAAAGAATAGAGCAGCATCTAATATCTGTGAAATGACTGTCTTGGACGTGCACATGCTTTTGGTGTGCACACACTAAGGATTTCTGGGTTTTATTTCAGACAATTCATGGACACAAGGGACCGATCACGGCGGTGGCCTTTGCTCCTGATGGACGATATCTTGCCACCTATTCCAACACTGACAGCCACATTTCTTTCTGGCAGGTAAGTGAGGGCATCACGTGACGTGCTTTAGGTGCAAGTTGCGTCTATCCTACTGAGTTCCTTGCCCACTGCCTTCTACCCCTCGCCCTCCTGCCATCTCCCCTCCTTGCCTGCCTGCCACAAATATCCAGTACTAGGCATTGACTAGCATGCAGGGCGCCAGGGGACACCATTTGCAATCTGCACAGGGCACGTTCTGGGCTCACAGAGCTTTCCAGATACGAAGAAGGAGCAGAAAAACAAGCAAGCCATTGCAGTGCAGGAGGGGACCCGTAGGAAAAGTGGCCTGGAACGGCTGGCAGGAGCTGAGGAAGGGCCGGAAGGTAGGAAGATTCAGAAGTCGGCACGGGCGTGGTGTGCTGCCCATCTGGGCAGAAGTGAAGTGGTGGTCAGGCAGGGAGCGAGCGTGCCAGAGGTCCCGGTGCAGTGTCAGGCCTTCCGCTCTGACTCTTCATAGGGTGAAGGGAAAGCCAGGCAGCCAGGGAGGACTTGGCTTCTGTTCATATTATCGCTGTGCTGTTTGGATCCTGCACTCCCCACAGAACGCTCCCTAAAGAATCCGACCCCTTTGGCTGGCAAGTCATGGAAATGTCCACATTTCATTTTGAGTAAAATGTAACTTACTCCTTTGGTCCTGATAAGGAGCCCTGTTGGTGCAGCAGGTTAAGCGCTGGGCTACCACCTGGGAAGTCGGTGGAGCCGACTGACTCATCAGCCACTCCACAGTGGAAAGATGAGGCTGCCTGCGCCAGTGAAGATTCACCTACAGAACACCCTGACTCTGTCTGGCAGGGTCTCTGCTCAACAGCCGTGGGTGGTGTTTGTACTCGTCCTGATAAGCATTGTCCTTCCTGCCACCCTCCATCCCCCGTAAATTAAGATTTTTTTTTTTACCTTCACGGTCCAAATCTATTTTACGAGCTTCAGCCTTATTGCTTTGAAGGCTTAAAAAGTTTAAGCAACTTGATGATAGTTTGAAGAAATCAATAGCTAATAAAATGTAAAACGGATACAATAAATTGCTTAATTAACAACATGCTATTAAAGCATGACAACTTCCAAATCTGCCACAGACTGTTTCTACTCTCCGTCTGATTTCCTGGTCCTGTTTATTTTCTCATTATCCTTCATCCAGAAGATATCTCCTGCATCTTAACTAGCTCACATTGTCTCTCGTCCTCCGGGGTCTCAGCTGGGCTTCATCTTCCCTAGTGAGCCCTTCCCGAGGACTCTGACTTTAGACGGCAGAAACCCCAGAATGAGCCCATTAGTTGTCCGTGAAGTGGGCCCTTAGAGCAAATGTTTCCTTAAAGTGTTGACCTACCAACACTTCTTTCTGCTTAGCCTAACGTGGTGGTCTCTGTTACATCAACTTGTTCTTCGAGGTGAACCTTTTCCTGTTATCTGTTCTCATCAGATCTCTGAGGTGCATTTCTGCAATTCAGTCTGCATTTACCAAGTGTCAAGGGCAGTGGGAGTCCAGCAGTGAAGTCCTCCTGTGGGGAGACCAGGGTTCGATTCCCAACCCATACACACTGAGCGCACCCACCACCTGTCCATCAGTGGTGGTTCGCACGTTGCCGTGATGCTGAACAGGCTTCCAGTGGAGCCTTAAGACTAAGATGGACCAGGAAGAAAGACCTGGTGATCTTTTTCTGAAACTCAGCCGACAACAAAAACCTGTGGGTCAAAGTACTTCTGTCCCCCAGTGATCATAGTGCAGGACCATTTCAGTCAGTGGAGCATGGAGTCAACATGAACTGGGTCTGCTGAGTGGCAGTCAGCCAGGCCTGAGTGCTGGAGCGCAATGGACATCGGTAAGTGAAGGGTCCCATGCGTCTCATGGAGCTTGTGTTTGAGCCCTGCTTTCTCCTTTTGAGTCTCATTATGCTTGTCCAACTTCTTCCGATGACAGAAGTATAATTATCATATAAAGGAATATAGCAGTTGGAAGACTTTGGTGAGACTGGTTTATAAAATACAGAAACACACCCATGAGGGATGTTCTTCTTAGCATGAGACCACGTGGGCCACAATTTCCCGAGGACAAAGATGGGAAGACAGGGAGGGTCAGGGCATCCAGGGGAATGGGCCCAGGGCAGGCAGAGGGTGGACATGGGGGGGTTCACCCGCTTTTCAGGGGAGCTCACTTGTTCTGGGGCCCCGGTGATGTGCACAGTGGGGAGAGGGCCTGGCACATTGTGAGGATCGCAGCCAATGCCATGCAACAAACTGCATATGAACAGTTGGAGTGGGAAGCTCATTTACTGGGCAGACTTCCACCTAAGACACAAGAGAGTGTGCAAATGAAAATAGCCAAGCACAGAAACAAGCTCGGAGGCAACTTTGGCCTTTCTCTGCACGTTAACCACAGTGCGTCACAAACCCACGACTGGGGAGAGGGTGTTTTGAACCCACAGACACGCGCGATTTATCACAGGGGAGGAAGTGGTTTAGGCTCTTCTCTGTGCAAACAAGGTTGCACACAGACCTTTTCCCCAGTCTCCTTGAGAAATTATCCAACCAGTATTTCTCATTAACACTCATTTCTCAGCCAAGCTCTTAATAGCTGGTCGCTCCAGTAAGGTTGTGTATTAATAAGATTTCATGAAGTTTTCCAAATATATTCCAGTGCACTTACTGGAATCCTGTGTACGTGTTACCGTACATCACGAGACGAGACCGCCGGCCTCCACGTCCATCGGCAGAGCCCACGATGCGGGCCAGTAGCAGTCGTTTCCATACAGCTTTCTGGATCTTTTTTTTTAACTTTTATTAAAAGATCACTTTACTGGGGGCTCTTACAACTCTTATTAGAGTCCATACATTGATTGTATCAGGCATATGTGTACATATGTTGCCATCATTCTTTTCTAGACTTTCTTTCTTTTTGTTGTTTTTTAAATTATTTTATTGGGGGCTCATAGAGCCCTTATCACAAGCCATACATACATCCACTCTGCCAAGCACATTTGTACATTCGTTACCATCATTTCTAAAACATTTTCTTTCTAGTGAGCCCTTGGAATCAGCTCCTCTCTCCCCCCCGCCCCCCATGACCCCTTGATAGATTATTACTGTTTTCATATCTCACACTGACCATTGTCTCCCTTCCCCCATGGATTCTGTTGGTCTTCCCCCTGGAGGGTTGTATGTGGCTATGTGTCGATCATTCCTGTCCTCCTTTCCTTTTCCCCCTCCCCCCCAGCCTTCTGGTATTGCTACTCCCATTCCTGTTCCTGGATTCCATGTGTCGTGAGCTCTTATCTCTTATCTGTACCTTTGTACATGCTCTGGTCTGGTCCAGGGTTCCTCAAACTTTAAACAGGGGGCCAGTTCACTGTCCCTTAGACCCATTGGAGAGCCAGAATGTAGTTTTAAAAAACTATGAACAAATTCCTATGCACACTGCACATATCTTATTTTGAAGTAAAATAACAAACAAGGCAAAAACACCCGGCGGGCCGGATAAATATCCTCAGTGGGCTGCATGTGGCTCGCAGACCGGCCGTAGTTTGAGGACACCTGGCCTAGTCAGAAGTGAGAGGCAGTACTGGGGTCATGGTAGTGGTGGGTGAGGAAGTCTCAAGGAACCAGAGGAGTATTGTGTGTTTCATCGGTGCTATACTGTGCCCTGGTTGACTCTTCCCTTCCCTGTGACCCCTCTGTTGGGGGATGTGCCATTGTCTACAGATGGGATTTGGGGCTCTGCTCTGAACCCCCCTCGCTCTCAACAATATGTTTTTGTTTGTTTATTATGGGTCTTCTGATACTTGTTACCCAGTCCGGAAGACACCTCATGATCGCACCAGCTGGTCTGCTTCTTCCATGTGGGCTTGTTTCTCTGCTAGATGGCTGCTTGTTTAACTTCAAGTCTTTAAGACCCTAGACGCTATATCTTTTCATAGCCAGGCACCATCCATTTTCTTCACCACATTTGCTTATGCACACATTTTGTCTTCAGGATTGTGCTGGGAGGGTGAGCATCACAGAATGCCAGTTTATTAGAACAAAGTGTTCTTGTATTGAGGGGGGTATGAGCAGATGCCGAAAGGTCCGGATCGTCTTAAATTCAAGTAAAAGACGGCTGTGCCTCTGGGAGGGGATTCACTGCATTTTCGTGATATGTCTCCACCACTTGTCTGTCCGTTTGCCGTACTGTAGTGGCCTGTGTGTGGCTGTGATGCTGGAAGCACGTCACTGGTATTTCAAAGGCGAGCAGAGCAGATTTCGGTGGAGCTTCCAAACTAAGAATAGATTATGAAGAAGGAATCGGCTGCCCACTCCAAGGGAAGCAGCAGCCGAAAGCCGGAAGCACAGCATCGCCACAGGCAGATGTCTGTGGGCCTCCCACTGAAGAACGTCAAGACTAAGCGGGGTGGTTTTTGCATGCAGAGAATGAGCCGCACTTTAAATTCTGACATTGGTTTTAGAGGCATTAAAGGCTGGTGTTGACTGAGTGCAATTATGCGCTCGCCCTGGACGCCCATGTGTGTGGACAGCACAAGGTGGCCTGCGGAGTACATGGCTTTATGGACGTCAGTGCTACAGCTGATAGGTGACCTCTGGGAGTGTCTTCAGTCCCAGGTGAGAGAGGGTTTTTAGGAGGATAGTCTCAGAGGTTCCTCCAGTCTCATCAGGGATCTCTTTCGTGAATTTGTGTATTGTTCTACATTTTCTTCCCCTTCTCACTGGGACCTTCCCTCGTGCCCCTGGCTAGAGTGGTCATTAGTGGTAGCCAGGCACCGCCCCATCTTTCTGGTCTCAGTAGAGGAGGCTGTGGTTTGTGGGGGCCATTAGTCCTGTGGATTTGTTGCTTCCTTAGTTTTTGGTTTCCCTCTCCTTTACTCCAGATGGAACAAAACCCAAAGTTGTGTCTTTTCAGATGGATGCTCACAAGCTCTTAAGGCCCCCAATGCACTTCCCTAAACTAGGATGGAGAACATGTTGAACTTGTGCCAGTTGGCCTAGATGTCTCTTGAGACAATGGTCTGTAGCCT